AAAATTATTATTTTTTGGCAGCTTGTTATGTTAGTAACTGATAAAAATCCCACTGTGATTGTTTATTTGACCATTTAGTTCTGTTAGGTGTTGATTTGCATATTTTGAGGTTACATTATATTAGGTGCCTAAAAATTTAGAATGATTTTCTTCCTGGTGAAATTGATCCATTTGTCATTATGAAGTGTTCCTTTTTAGCTGTACTAATGTTTCTTGCCTTGAAGTTTTGTCTCATTAATATAGCTACATCAGCTTTATTCTAGTTAATGCTAATTTAGCATATCTTTGTCTATACTTCTACTTTCTCTGTGTCTTATGTTTATTTAAAATGTGACTCTTGCAAACAGGATTTAGTCAGACTTCGTTCATTTATTCAGTTTGCCAGTCTCTGACTTTTGTTGGAATACTTAGTTCTTTCACATTTCATGTAATTACTGATACTGTATATTTGTTTTTAAACCAACCATCTTACTTTTTGCCTTTTTTTCTTCCTTTCTCTTTTAAAATATGCTCAACAAAGAAAGGAGACAAATTTCCAGCAAACTAGGACTTCCATTTAATCAGTAGGTCCCATCTTCTAAGGTTTCTATATAATCAAGGTTTTGGTATATATACTTATGTGTTGTATTTTCAAGAAGAAAAAGTACACACATACGGTAATTTTTAAATTAGAATCAAATGTAGCAAAGGATACTGAGCAAAAAGGAAAGGATCTTTTGCAGATCTCTAGCCAGGGAAAAATCCAACTGAGGTATGACAGGAAAAGTAAAGCTGCCAGTCACGAAAGGTTTAAACCTTGATAAATTTCAGTTGTGAGCTTAGTCCCCAGGAGACCAAGGAGTTTGTATGCTCCTGAGTTCCTTTTAGTACCTGGAATCAGCATCCAGCCCTGACATGCCCAGCATAGATTGAAGGATTTAGGTTTTTCGCATACAAAATAGAAAAGTTACCATCTGTATCAGTTCGTTCTCCAGAGAAACAAAACCAACAAGAACTACCGATGACTTATTTTAAGGCATTGGCTCGCACATTTGTGGGGGCTGGCAAGTTTGATGCCATTTGAAATATGCAGAGCAGGCTGAAAACTCAGGCAGGAGTTGATACTATAGTCTTGAGGCATAATTTTTCTTCTCTAGGAAACTGGTTTTGCTCTTAAGGCCTTCAGCTGATTAGATGAGGCCCACCACATTATTGAGGATAATTGTAGATAATAAATGTTAATACTACCTAAAAAATAATTTCTCAGCAACACCTAGATTAGCGTTTGGTTAAATAACTGGGTACTAGAGCCTAGCCAAGTTGACACATAAAACTAGCCAACACACCATCTGTAGCATCAAATAATATAGAAAAAGCAGCAAAGCCACAGAGAGATTTTTAATAGCAGTGCTACCTACGAATTAACAGAAATGACCGCTTCAGGGGAGGCAGCAGCAAAACCTGGAAAAGAGGGCCATGGAGCAGCCACTCTAGGCCAGGGTTACAGGGAGTGTGTTTAGCTGTAGTAGGACAAATTCATGAGTATGCGAATTCCTTTATTCGTCACCATGAATTAGACATGTTTCCACTGGGAGATATTACCCAGTATAGTACTACTGCACAAGTGGCCATGACAGAATTAAAAGGTAGTATTAGCAAGTTTCTATTGTGCTGCTCTCAGTCAATGGCCTTTATTTCTGTATCTTTTAATATCTCTCTCTCTCCTACCCCATATGTATATGATTTGCTTTCTCTATGTCAAATTTTCTTTTATATTTTATTTCTTTCTTTCCTTAATGGTCCTAAAAGAATATTTAAGTGGCATTTTTGTTTTAGGTTGTATAAATGAGATCTGTGGCTATTTTCAGTTTCCTGGGAAAAGGGCAGGAATAGTACTGTTAATTGTAATCTATAACTATGACTATAACTGTCATATGTGCCCATCCATACACATTCAGCTCCAAATTCTGAAGAGATTCTAGTCTACCCCCCCCAACTTTGACAACCATGCACTAATGAAATTGAAAACTCACTTTCCTCTGCAGCAACGATGAGAACTGTACACGCCCTTGTATCATGAAATATGCAACTGGAGTGGCATTGTATTTTTTAGAGAAAGAGAAAACGGCTGCAGCCCGCTTAGCTCAAGCAGCTGCTGCTTGATGTCTTCCACTGTGAGAGCACCTTTCTGACAGGTTCTCAGGCTCAACTCTGAGGTCAGAACAGGATTAGGACAGGAACCCACTTTGCACTGACAGCTGCTCTGTTAGTCAGTGCACTGACTTCAGCTCCATGGCTTCTAAAGAATGTTTAATTAATTTTCTCACTACCAAAAGTTATCTCTTAAAATATTATAATCTTGTGATTTAGCTGGTTTTGTTTTTTGTAAGAGATTACAGTTTTCCCCAAAATCAGATGGAATTTTTGTCTCTGACCTGCTCTTGGAAGCTTTACCTAGCACAAATGTATCAAATTGTAAGTGTTATCCAGTCTTCTTATTATTATCCAGGACTAAATCATTTGCTTTGTAGAACTAGGTGACCCTCAAGGAAGGACCAGTCAGCATATTGAGCAACTGGTTTCTGTAGCAGAGAAGCTACCCCTGGGAAATGAGGAACTCTGTTGAAGGTATAGAACTCTTCCCTGTGATAAGGACCCTAATGCAAGGAAGTGGGAAAGGCCCAACTGGTGAGAACAGGGATGCATCTGCCAGTGTGCTCTCTGTGATGGCTATTTTGCCATATGGAGATGAGGTTCTAGCCCATTTGGGAACATAGATCTTGACACCAGAATGCCAATAGGCACTTTTCTACCGCTATAGAGTAAGTATTTAATGTCATTTTCTTGCCAAATAAAATATGGTAACATTTCTACTCAGTTTTTTTTTTTAATATTCGTTCTTAATCTCCATTTATATGGTATTTAATTAATGATGATGAGCTTGATTTTAGAAAATTGATTGAGGAAGATAGAGAAAGTAGACTTACTGGAAGCTTAGTTTTCTTTATAATAATCCTATGGTAAGTCCATGGTGATAGTACATCACAATTGCTATGAATAAAATGGTTTCCATCTACTACCTGTGATCAAGGAAATCACTGAAAATGCCCACTAGGGATAGAGGGGATCTTCCTGAAGCCTACTAAACTTAAAACTAACTTACAACTAACATCAGACTCGATGGTGAAAGACTTGATACATTCTAAGATCAGAAATAAGGCTGGATGTCCATTTTCCCTTTTCATTCTGCGTTATGCTGGGGATCATAAGGTAGAGTTATATGACAAAAGTCATACAAATTAGAAAGGAAGAAGTGGAACAGTCTTTATTTGCAGTTGATACAGCCAGGTATGTAGAAAACCTAGAAATCTGCAAAAACTTAATAGAACTAACAGGAAATTTAGCAGACTTTAAGGATACAAGACAAAGGATACAAGACTTTAAGGATACAAATTTAGCAGACTTTAAGGATACAAGATAAAAAAATGTGTTTTTCTATACTAAGAAAAAAACACTGGAAAATGAAAATTTTAAAACTATATATAATAGCATAAAGTACTTAGGAATATATTTAATGAAAGTTATGCAAGACCTCTATACTGAAAACTATAAGACATTACCACAGGAAATTAAAGACGAGCTAAGTAAGTGGAGAATATTGTGTTAATGGACTAGAAGGAAGCAATATTGTTAAGATGTCAATTTCTTTTTATTGATCCATAGATTCAATACAATTTTAATTAAAATCCTGGTAGGCTGTTTGGAAGAAATCAGCAAGTTAATTTTAAAATTTGTATACAAAAGACCTAAAATAGCCAGAACACTATTGATTATTTCCTACCTGATTTCAATTTATATTGTAAAGTTACAATAATAATCCACAGTGTATGGTATTGTCATATGGAAAGATCAGGGATTTAGAGGGCCTTTTTGGTTGGTTTTCATGAAGATCTTCCACCTATTTTGTGTTTATTTTAAGGTGTCTTGTTTTTTTGTTGTTGTTATTGCCAGTGTTGTCTTTTTTTCTACGACATCTTCATACTAATTTTTGTTTGCATATATGAAGACTGCTAGATTCGTGTGTGTGTTAATATTGTATCTAGTCACTTTAACTACTTTGTTTTGCAATACTACTTTGATTATTTGAGATTTTTCAAGGAAATGGTGAAAAACATTCCAATTTGTAAGCTTCTTATTTCTTATATTTTCTAAATATATTTGCTACAGTGATAATTATTATTAAAGTATAAATGTACCAAACTATTTGATTTTCTTTTTATGTCTATTTACTTAGGCTGATTTTTTTAATACTCAGGGACATACTGAAGTCTTAAATTGAAGTGATGATTTTATGAAAAAAAAAAAGCTTGTCATTTTAATGAGAAAAGTAATCATTTTGTACATCTAGAATTAGTGATTGGTGATAAGTTTTTGTTTTTTGGGTTTTTTTTTTGAGTTGAAGTCTCACTCTGTCACTCAGACTGGAGTGCAGTAGCACGCTCCCGGCCACCACAGCCTTGACCTGCTGGGCTCCGGCGATCCTTCCACTTAAACTTCCAAGTAGCTGGAACTACAGGCTTGTGCTACCTCGCCTGACTAATTTTTTGATTTATTGTAGAGATGAGGTCTCGCCAAGTTGCCCAGCCGGATATTTTTTTTATTATAAATTTTACTGTAGAAAATTTAGAAATTATACTAGACTAAAAAGAAAATTAATTCTACCACTCAGAGATGACCATTGGAAATATAATGGTGTGTTATGTTCTAGAAATTTATTTCCCAAGTCGAATATCTTGAACAGAGAATGTGTTTTAATATGTAGTGGGTGATGTTTTTAATAGCTTGTTCTAATTTTGGCTCTAATTCTTTCTTTTTCTATAAGATTTTAAACCTCAGAGTGAACATTGAATTGAACTTCAGTTAAATAAATCAGACTCTTGGCTAGGAGGTTGTTTGTACTTTCATTAGTACAAACAAGAAAAGAGCATATGTTACAACATCTATTTCTTCTTTACTTCAAGATTGTACATATTAAAATAGCCATTCAAGAATGCTGATTTTCAGATGGACGGTTTTCAGAAAGGTGAGATGAGCCCAGAAGAGAGGGAACAGATTACTACCATAGTCAAGATGTGACTTTGATGATTTCACTTTGGGCAGCATTATTGGGGATATAAAGGAAGGAATGGTTTTGCAAAATATTTACAAAATAGTAAGCAATGAGATTGATGTTTTATATGGTGCATTGGGGTCAAGGAGTGTTGTTAGATTTCCATCTTAAGAACTTTGGATAAGCAAAATTTGATCTTGAAATTGTATCAGACCTTTTTGGATTGGTTCCTAATACAAATTAGATTTAGTAGTTTTAAGAAGATTTCTCAGCAGTCTCTTTGTCATTGCAAAATGGAGCTTTACAATATGTGTGTGTACCTTATAGATGGTGTGAGGGCTAAATGAGTTAATATTTAGAGTAGTGACTTACAGTATTTGGCACATATTAAATACTCAGGTAGTTGTTTTTCTCCTAATTTGTGTAGGATTACTTGTATGGATTTGCTTACCCTTTTATGTTTTTACACCTTCCTAGACTGCATTTTCTTCCTATATCATTTTGGAAATTTTGAAGTCATTCATTATTTTAACAGTTAATGAGGTTTTACATTTGTCCAAATAAAAATGGAAGTAAAGAAGGAAAACTTTTGAGCTGTTCACATGCACTGAGTTGAATCCTCTCCATGAAAGAAATATTTACAATCTGGAGAAAACTGGAGTAGCCACAGCATAGAAGAGCCTAACTTTTAGGAGCATACAACAAAGAAAGTACAAACTGCAGTAAAAATAGAACATTCCTGTAACTGCCAACTATGTTAAATCTTTCTTAATAAAACTTATTTCAAACTATAAAGACTACAGGAAATAGTCTAACAGCTACCTGAGTGTCCACCATCTAGAATTAACAAATGTTAACTTTTTAAAAATCTCAGACTTCTTTTTAATCAAAGAAATAGAAATGAATAGGTTTTTTTTAAAAAAAGATGGTTCCACTATCTCCATCATGTGGTTTCCAAGCTAACAGTGTTCAGGTGCGTCAAGCTGATGGAAAAGGAAAAAGAGATTGTAGAAGGCACCCCTGCTGCTTAAGTTCCTTGGTCTTCAGGTGACGTGCCTTATTTCCTTACATCCTTCATTGATGAGAAAAAGTCACGTGACCCCAGCTAGATGAAAGGGCACTTTAAAAATACAATCCTGCTCTTCCCAGCAACAACTGTGAAGACAGCATACACATCTTTGGTGAAGAGCTGTTGCTTTCTGGTATATTTACTTCGCTCAACTTCCCAGTACCATTTATCTTTCTCTCCAGAGGCCAAAATTATTTTGAAGGTAGAATATGTACTTCAAGTTTTAATATTTTTACTATATGTGTAGATCGCCATAAAGAATATATATTACTTTGTGTGTGTGTGTTTTAATTTAGACATTTATTTTTAAAATGTTTTACTTTATATTATTTTGACACAGCCCTGTGTGTTTTGAAATCTGTCCAAGATCTTCCCTGAGATCTAATTAATCCACTTTAACTGCTGTATAGTCTTCCACTCTATAAATATACACCAGTTTTTGTTTATCCTTTTTCCTTTCTTTTTTTGGAACAAATTCAAGTTCTTTATAATTAAGACAAAATCATCTTGCTGAAAACACTGTCTTGTTTTCCTCTGCTGGGCCCTGGGCATCGGTGGTCAGGCCTGGAATCCCCCTTCCTGCAGACCACAGCCCAGTGCGTCTCTTCCCCTCCCTGGCCGTGGGCGTGTGGGCCGGGAGGGTGACACCTAATGTGCTGCAGTCCTCACCTGAGCCTGGCCCGGGTGTGTGCTTCCCCAGTCTGCCCTTCCTTTACCGAAAGCTCAGTGTGCGCCACTAGCCCTTCAGGAGCCCGGCTAGGAGCGCTGGTGGACCATGAACGAGACCTAGCCCACAAGTTCCGTGGCCCGCTCGCCCCACTCAGGCTTCTGCATCACCATGTCCTATACTTTTCCCTGTGGTGAACTTTTAGGTCGTTTCTGGTTTTTAATTATTGTGAATATTACGAACATTAGCATTCTATACATGTCTCCAGGGACAAACATTTGTTTCCCAGTTTTACCTGAAAGTTTGTTAGATTGAAGAGCATGTATACATTTTCTGTTTATTAGATACTACTAAGTTGCTTTCCAAATTATCCCGTTTTACACTCATAGTTTATGAAAGTTCCCATTTTCTTATATATTTTTTCACAAACCAAACTTTAGGGGTTTATTTGTTGTTGTTGTTTTTTTTTTTTTTTT